ACACAAGCTCAACAGGTGGTTGGTAATAAATGCGAGAACAATTACGTGGTCTGTACGTGCATTGTGGGGGATATAAATAATTTACGTTGGACGAACACTTGTATTATCGTTCTCGAATTATTTCCGTTGCAATCCGATAGAATTTTCATAAAACTGATTTAATATCATGCAAGTTAAGGTATTTGCTTTGCAATAAAAGCGCAGCCTTTAGGTTTGCTTCTTTAAACCAACCCAATAACATTTTTGCTTCCTTTATTCGTTGTCACTTATTTCATCGTCTTTTGTATAAACGTAAATTAACATTTTTTTTTAATATTTATTCTTCACATCAATAGATACCAATGTTTTTGTTCATCAAACTTCCTTCACTCCTATATTTTGCATTTTTAATTCCTCCTGCATGGTGTCGAATGTACAATTTATTTTATTAAAAAAATGTATAAATTGAGGGCAAAATCAACAAATAAGATTATGTCTTCGATTATTTACGGCGTTATTTGAGCCGCTACATCGCTAAACCAAAAAGAATAAGGCCCGTAAACCAATCAGAAGTAATTTCGGCTTTGATATAAAAAAAACTCCCGTTATGCTGGCGAAACGAGATTTACGATAGCGGGAAGTGTGTTTGAACGATTTTCGCGAATCGCTTCGAAATCGGAGACTTTTATTGCGATTCAAATGAATTATCCCAGTGCATATTTTAAGAGACGACGAACAGGATTGCTTCGCCTTTGCTGTTTAAATATTTGCCCGAAATTCGAGATAAACTCGATTTTTATGGAGTTGAGAGCTCGACGGAAGCACCTAATGTGATTGATATATTATAGCAAAAGGAGTATCGAAAGATTTGTAATTTTTTATTGAGGAAATTTAAAATTGGCGAAAACGCAAAAAGCTCTGTCTATCAAGCTTTTTAACCCTTCAATCAATCCAACGGTAAATTACGCACTTCTACGCTTCGCTTTTCTCATGAATTTTTGAAGGTAGGCTCCATTATAAACTTTCTCCTCCACACATAAATCCATGAAATTCTCCTTTTCGCCGAATTACTTTTCGATGTAACTTTTTCGATCTATAATTGACAGCTTGATAAAGTGGATGCCGTATATTCTACTTATAGAAAAAAAATCGAGCGCTCCCACCATCAAGGCCTAATAGGCGTCCCGTGTATTTCTAATAAATGCGATTATACACACTGCGTCAATACCGAACCCATTTCGTTAATCTGCTTACGTTTTTTCGCTCTCCGAGTTTACCACCGGGTTTTGCACCGCGTATACGTACGAAAGCAGTGTCGGATAAATTTGCGCTCGGCAAAAATTGTTTTTTATTTTTTTTACCAAGCGTAAAAAGTTTTAAAGGTCTCAACGCCGTTGTTAGGGAGATAATAAAACAAGTTTATAAATAGTTGGCGCAGTCGAATAGGATTGTTGCAACGCAAGCAAAAGATCCAATTTACAAAACGCGACTTTGTTAAATATAGTGAGAGTTTTAAATTCTCTTCGCGAGAATAATTGTACTAAAACAGAAAACTAACGCATTTGTTTATCCTAATAGCTGTTTCTTTTATGCGAAGAGGCGGCATAGCGTGAAGTGCAAATCTTAAATACCTACCTCGAAACGGGGCGAACAAAAGGCAAAACTCTCGTTTGTCGCTACAATGCCATTAATTATTAACGTGGCGAGCTTTGAATTGCTACAAAATTTACCAATCAAAAGAGGAAACCATTTAAAGCGGGAAAAGAGAAGTGTGTATAGACGCACTCTTCAACGGAATCGCTCCCATTCAGCGGATTTACTCGTTGCTCCGGGATTAATTTGAAGTTTATCTGGTTTTATGGAAAGTCAATTTCATCATACAACGCGGCTATTAATAATTTAACAGACTGTTTACGTTGTAGCTTAAAATTGAAAACTGGTGCATGACGCGTCGAATGTTTTAACTATCGCTAAATTTTCAATTATCGCCTATAAACTTCTTCAATGATTTAAAATTTTCCCGGTAGAAACAAATTCAAATTTAATTACATGCCGCATTAATAGTAAACGGGTGGTTACAAGCAAAGAGTTCGATGATTAAATACAAGACGTTAATGGTGAAATTTAATTACATTTGTTTAATCCCGGTATAGATTTTAATTACATAATCCGCCGCTGTAACGTTAATTAAATAAAGGTTTGATATTTGTTTGTCGATGATGGCAAATTTCCTAAAATTAATACCAATCCTGCCAAGCCGAATTAACAATACTTCGTTACAATTAGAGGCAAAAATTCCTCAATTCAATGGATCAAAATATAAATTTATTGAATATTTTATATTTTAACGTCATTATCGATTAAATTTTATATTCAAATATATAGTAGTTCACTCAAAATTTCAACTCGTGACGTCATCATTAGATTAACCTACTAAGGTTCGTTCATTTTTTGAGTTGTATATGTAATAGAATATTTCTTTCAACATCGTGTTCTGAGGGTTCATTGGATATATCGCAACCTTTTTCCCGTTTTTCGGATGTATTCGTATACGGTAACAGTACGGTACTTCGAAACTCTGCTTCATTAGACTCGCAGGGAGTCATTCGCGGCAAATCCACATGACGCAAACACGCCGAAACGTGTGCATTAGACTTTCGAGTGTTGGCTGTCATCGGCAGAGTGCTGTTCTGAGGCTTTCAGTGTCCAGAAACGACGCCCGACAACCACAGTGGTGGCTGGTGAACAGAAGGCGACAACGCGTTTCAGAAGTGGGATAGGAAGTGCACCGTGGTGATGGAGCAGGGATTGATAAAAAAAAACTCCTGCCCTGAAGGTTTTTCATCTCGCGGATGAAATTTGTTTTTACTGAAAATTTTCGATCTATTTGAAAGTTTCATTCGATTAATAAATTTTATAACGTATTCCATAGGGTGCTTTTTTTTAATATTATTTTTAATTTTCAATATAAATTTTAATTGAAATTCGATCTGCTGTAGGTATAAAGAAAATAGTGTACCGATATGGAATTTTCTATTTTTAATTAAAATGATTAATTTACTTTTAATTAATTTAGAGGTAAAGTAATGCGCAGCTCGAAATATCATCACGAACGGATTAGTTCGGAGTGACGAAGATAAAGCCTCCCATAATCAGTGTACATATATGTAAATTGAAAATTTTATTTACACAACGAGCGTTATTTTTATTCGCAAACCGCCGATAATTCATCCGGTTAATTGGACACTTAAATCTGCAATTTCACTTCCACCACACTACTCATATATTTCCCGAACAATCCTCCGTGTGATTTACGCGCCTCATCGAAAAACTTGCATCGCCGGTGAATGCGAACAAGTAACGAAGATTTAAAGACCGTCCCCAACACTGTCAACGCCGTGTTCTTTTTTTCCGAAAGCAAAGAAAAGACCACAACAACAGTGATATATGAGAGGTCGAGGGAAATTGTTATTCGAGGAAAATTTGCTATCCTACCTGCAAAAGGTTTTTATCCTAACAATTCATGTTATTACTTATAGTGCAAAAATGACTCTCTTATTTACTGATGCCATGGTTTATCAATAAATTTGCGGTTATTGTATGAATGGGTTGGTTTTATTCGGGTGCTCCGGTGCAAAACGGGCCTTGTGGGGTTTTTAAAAGGCAATTTTATTAGCGCGGGTGGTTAATATACGGCCTAATTTTCAGTTGGAAAAGCGTCATTCCCGAAAGCGCCGAGCACGGTATGAATTAAATTTTTCACGCAAGATCAGACCGAACGATAAAAAAAGACGTGATGTTTTTCCTAAATAGATAGAACGCGTACAAATTGGAGCAAAAAATCGTCCATGGACACGTGAAGTCAATGGATTTTCCAGCCAAATTTACATCATTCTTATAGACGCATAAAATCGACTTGCTCTCTGTTTAATGAAAACCCGAATTTTCGCTATTACTCATGTGCTTAATTCGTCAAACGGTTCTAATGATACTGTAAACGTTTATTTTAGTATCCCATCCTAAGCATAGGTTTAACTATCTTATCGTTTATTAAGTCCGTTGGAGTGATACTTAACATTTTACGAGTATTAGCTTTATGTTTCTCAGTTAATAGTAACTTTACAACGCCTTATGTATATTTTTTGAATATACAAAATGTAAAGACTTCATCTATTAATTTCCATTGCAGGATTTCTGCAGAAGCGCCTCCAATAATCATGATAAGAGTAATTTTGATATACATCGTCATTTGACCAAATAATTTGGCAACACTAAGTATAAAGGATTTAACACGGCATCTATTCGGAGAATTTACGATGAACCCTTCTAAATGAAAACGGCAGATTATGGCCGTATTATATTTATCTATATCATGCATGAAAAAGCAGTTAAGTCCAGCATAGTGATAGTTGAATGTGACGTTTTACGATCATAGCCGTAGTAAATATGGGTTAATGTACCTTTAATTATTGCCATACGAACCGAATATTTGATTATAGGTGTTTTTTATCCGTCGAAACGAACGAAAAAAACTAATTACAACGAATTCCCTATTTATATATTTCACCAATAGATAGACCTACATTAAGTAATCGAGTAGAGACTTAAGCGGGTAGATTTAAATTTCATATAATTACTCGTGCATTTACAACTCATTTGCAATCTGCGATTCATTAAATCTGCATAAAATAACAACCCGCGGATATTTGTGCGCGCAACTTCTCTTCCTAGACTTCCATTAATATACATGCCCTACTCGTGTCTCTATTAGCCCTCCAGTTATTAGTTTATTATAAATATTGATGAAAATGGAGAATACTAATTAGTGATTAGCGTACAAATATATTCCATACGTCCGTCAAAATTGGTAATTTCGACGAGGTTTTATTCAAAACAAATGCATAAACATACCTAATTATTATAATAAACAATCGATTTTTATACAACAAAATTAGCGCGGTTCAACATGTTTTTAATCATTCAGAAATATAATATTAAGGTAATTAAAAATATGGACTTACCGGCATAGTTTGACTGCCGTGTAAGCTATTAATGGCCGCCTGTGCTTCCTGATGTGAGCTGTATTTCACGAAAGCACAACCTGTAACAGAAAAAAATGACATCATAAATAAAGGATGCCAGGAGGAGATTTGCGAAATAAGAATTTCAAATTTATTAGACCGGGAGAGATTTTTTAGTCTTGCGCTTTATAGCACGCCGTCCAGAGGCGTACCGCACATTTTCTATCAAACTATTGTTACCATAAAGAAATGTTCATCACGATTTAATAATTACGTAAACTTTTCATTCATATTTTAGTCGAGCAGACGATCTTCATTAACATTTCAACGGTCATTAAAAAGCATTAATAAAGCTTTTTACGACTCGACTGAAAGAGATTCCTCACTTTGTTCCCATTACGGCGTCGCTTTCTTCCTTTTCCGACCCATATAAGAAAATTAGTATGCAAGAATGCCTCCAAACAAAGTGAGTAATAGATATAGGGAAAATTAATATACAAATGCAAAGGGAGCAATAAAGCGGAAAAGTCAAAGTTTAGAAACAAATTTATCTTATTACTGAGAAAACCAGTTTGTTAATTCTTAAATTTACACGCCAAAATTTAGAAGCACCTACACCAAAATTTGCCGTTGAAAGAAATATTTTTCGTTGGAAAGCAAATTGGAGAAACAAAAATTTTATGAAATGCATACAATAGAATTCATTTATTAAAAACGATAAATGCAAAATTAGGATAAACTACGAACTTCCAGCATCAGCCAAGTTTTCCTTCTCATCTTACTTCCGCTGCAAACCGATCAAATAGAATGGGCAGAAAATAGGAAGAGTAGGTACTTAGTTTATACCGAACTTTCCTACCGGAGTTTTAATATTATTTTTCTTTAATTTTTATCTACCTGAAAATTGAGTTTCTTAGAGCAGCAGGTTAACAGAAATAAAGTGCTGTTTCGGTATATTTAAAGTAATGAAGAACAATTCTAATTAAACTTTTATTAAAAACTCGGTTTTACGATAAAGTTCACCGTTGGCGGACGCACCCTAATGAATCCCGGATTGAGTTCCTACTAAAATGAAGTAAATTTTCATCAAACAGACCTTATTTAAATTTATTTTTTCGTTTATAACCTAGTTTTTAACTGCAATTTTTTACAGTACACAGATATAGAAATGGAGTATACAAATAGCCGATAAACATGTAATTAATAACAACTTAATTAACCTTCTACGAGATTCCTCATAAATCATAACAGAATTAAAAATTCATAATAAAATACTAATAAACATCATTCGTTAATTAACCCTCACGTTGGAAATTGATTTATAGCGTTTCGTTTTAATTAAATTATAGCCTTTTGCCGTGCTCTTCGGTATTTTTGTTCGAATTATTTTCAATCACGCATTTTTAACATGCGACGGTGTGTGTGTTTGACAGACGACGCTACGCCGTCGGATTTTTGTGCGGTTGTGTACGTTTTTTCCGTCCCGGATCGAAATTATGGTTTTCGAATCATCACGTGCCCCCATTTCTTTATCTTCTTCGATATTATATAAAGCTGCGCAATTCTCTGATTGTTTACATCATTTATCTGATAATTGATGAAGTCAATTAAATTTTGTAGCAAACATTAATTTAGTTAATTTCCAAACTATACGAAATATAAACTGCGCATATTTAGGTGTATATTCCACAAATTGCGATAAAAAAACGAATGATAAAAATGATCGTAGATTAAGTAATTATATTAATCAATTTGTTCCGCAGTATTTGCTCATCCGAAAATATCGGAATTAAAATGAAATCAATTCAATCAATTAAATAAAAATAGAAATTGCTGTTTGGGTAAATATTTTTCAGTAAAGCAAAAATATCGAAACTACATGCACAAAAACCGAAAAACAGTCAACTTCATTATCGTAATGAAAACAATATTCAATTTTGGAATTACATCGTTGTATTATTTCAGCAAATATCGTTATCTAATTTTATACCATTTTCGTTCAAAGTTTTATTTTATCAACCGTCGGAAATGGATTTTGGATTTGATTAAAAATTTGAGGTAATCCATGTTTGTGCGTGCATATACACAAATGGAATAAACGTTCGATTTCACTAATGTAATCGACAATACATTAAACAATTGACGAATTTTGTTTGATTTGGCAATATATTTTCCTCTACAATTCGTCAACATGCACACATTTATTAAATTATTCTTAAAATTGGAAACATTGAATTATTGATAATTACGTATTTATGTCAATACACATCTGTTACCGTATGAAATATACAAATCGCAACGCTGCACATTTATAGAGAAAAAAAACAAGTACTGAATATGATCGTTTGCAATCAAAACTTTGTTTTTTTTGTCTACCAAACAGTGTCGCTTAAAAGAAACCTCTGTCCATTGTCAAGTGGAATTCGTCGTCGACAAGATTGAGGTGTATCCTAGAGGAAAATCCCGCGGGAAAAGCGGGCGGTACGCCACTAGAGGGCGCCGCTTTCCTGTCATCGGGCCAACTTTTAAATTCGGACAGTTTTACGTCCCCGAAGGCGCACCCAGTCGACGGAAGTGTGGAACTTGTGCTCAACATGTCTTAATTCCTTCGGTTTTTTTCACTTCTTCTTCGAGCCGGTTTTGTTTCGTCTTCTTTAAATATTTTTCCCGTTCTTAACGGCACTTGAACTTTCCCGAGAACGAACCCTCCGAGGGCATGTTGCATTCTGTCTGTTAGAAAGTTGAGAGTTTTTCGGTCGTGTTTGCGACAAAAGGAAGTAAATAAGTTCGATAGAGAAATGCAATTTTTTAAAGTGACTATGAAAAGTTAGAATTTGATCAAATGAATAAATTATCGAGTAGAATCAACTGTATGAAAAGGGCGCATTTAAAATTTAGCAATATATTCAAATTAATCAAGGAAAGACCAACCAATTAGCATGTTCCTTGTAAAAGCCAATTAATTCGAAAATCATGAAATTTTACCGTTTGTTACAAACTCTAATTTGACTTCCCCTGACAAAAGAATCTCACGAAGGTCCCTAATAACAAAATTTAATTAATCTTTATTTAAGTCTCTTAACCGTCCTTCTTTTTCCTACTCCTTCACTTTTCATTTATCCCTCTGCTTCGTGATATTTTGATGGTATTAATTAGAGAAAATTATATTATCGAGTAGTCCTCGACTTTCCGAGATCCCTACTTTCGTTTTCAATCTACCTTGCCTCAAGCGAATTTATTTATAAATTTTAATCCTTCCAGAAATAGCCGCGTTAGATCAAATTTTAATATACGAATAATAACGTTTTATATTTGTTACCGCTAAATAATTATTAAACATCAAGTACAGCATGAAATGCGTATACACGTCCATAATAAAATAAAATCAGAACTAATTTGATGTTGATTTTCAATCTAATAACTGCTAAAAAATTCGCGCACGCTTTCGATCGGCGTCTTTTTTAAACCTTAAAGCAATATCCCGTTTCCCGAGTGTAAGATTACGTTTATATAATACACGGCACCTCGAGAGCAAAATCTCCTCAAGTGACAGTAATATTTCCTGCTAGAACAAAATAGGCCAGTAAACGTAAACAATTATAATGCTAATTTAATTCGTCGCTTTCGCTTACATGTCGAATATTATCGACGTTCCGACGAAACGCCCGGCAATAAAATGGAATCCTCATTGGGAAGAAAGGGAGAATGCAATTCGGTCCGTGCTCTATCTTAGAGATCCGGCTTTCTTTCTTGTATATCTCAATTAGTGTTGACAGTAATAGAGTCCCCACGACGCTCCGTCGCGCTCTAATGGCTCTCCTTCTTTCTCCATCGATGTTCCAAATAAATGCAAATCACGTACGTTATTAATATAAGAAGGAGCGCACGAAATGGCGGATACGTACGTTTTATTTTATAACCCACTTTTATGCGGTAGGTAATCAATAATTGTAACTAAACTATTTCCTTGACGAGAACAACATAATAGGTAATTATGCGAAGGTGCGAACAGTCAGTTCGAACACGTAACACGTCTCATGCAAATAACGGCTGGTAACATTTAATCGCCAATTAAATGAATAAATGGAACGCGACACCGAGGGTTGGGAGAGCATGTTCCGCCTAAAATTTTCGACGCCCTATTATCATATCGAATTTTAATGGAAACGCAACGATTAATATTGACGCATACATAGGTAAATAGTTAATACACGCGATAATTGATAGGCGATTGGATAACGTGATAAAAAAGTCGGGTGAATTTGGATTTGAAAAATTAATTCAACTTACCTTTACTGCCACCGTCAGGCCCTCTCAGTATCGTGCACTCTTCTATTGAACCGAAAGGCGCGAATAATTGTCGAACATCTTCTTCAGTTTGTTGCTTACTGAGCATACCCACGAACAGCTTTCGATCTGTGATTAGAAAAACGAAAATAAATTAATATTTCAAGCAGACATAATTCGTTTAAAATTACACTTATTAATTGGTTTACACTAAGGTGTAAATATTTAGCTATAAGTTATTTGATATTAGGAGAGGTTTTATTAATATTTCATCTGAATGTAAACCAACAAAGACAATATCTATACGAAATGAATGGTGCATTTCCACTTAAAATCCGCTAAAATTTGACACTCAAGGTACGAGCTCTGGAGCTAGCAAAGGTGTAGCGAAATTTTCGGAAAATCGATCTCTACGAATTTAATCGAAATTAATTATTTAATAGCTTCTATTTCCGAAAACTTAGCTTATGAGGAGCTAACAGTGATAAGGATGAGGGTCGGGATAAACACACAACAGTCGGTTAGAGGGAATTTTCACTAAAATATATCAGTGATTTTTTATTAATTATACCTAAATCCAATTCAGCGAAAAAAAATTAAAAGAACTCTTGCTCGACCCAAGTTGACTGCACTGGAGCCGGGAAAATTTATTTTATTAGAATGTTTCCTTTCCGGAGCGAACGCTGACGCAGCGAAAAGAAAGTGAGTGATTCAAAAGGATGAGTAAATTAGCCTCTGGAGATCGATTTCATTATTTCGTCGATGCCTTCGGAGATCTATTGATTCCTATTACACGATAAACGTAGTTCGGTTTTCTGATTGCGCTCGACTTAAGGACCGGATAAAGAAATTTAATGGAATTGGACGATCAAGCAATTAACAGAATCTAAAATGTGACCAAAAAAAATAAAGATTTATTTTCTGGGTTTAATTCTTTATGCACATGAAAGAGACGATCCTCATTGCCGACGATAAAGCATCAAATTCATAAAAAAAACGGTAAAAAAAAGCAAAAACGAGACAAAGGGATATCCCCAGCATGCAATTTCGTCAAGACATCCCTGCATTTATTACCTATAAAAATCAAAATTGAGACCGCAGCGGCCATCTTACTCTAGAACCTATTAACAAAATCTGCCGCGGCGCAGTTGGGCGACATTAAAGAAAATTACTCGTTTTATAGCAACTTATACTCGGGTAAAACCTACTAAATAAAATTACGGAAGCTTTCCGGGAGCCAGTAAACTCGTCTAAACCGATTGCAACAATTATGAACTCGTAAAGCGAGTACCTAACTTTCCCCAAAACAAATTCAATAAAAAATTTCTCCTGAACCACTAATACCCGATAAAATTTGTAATAAAATTTACATAATTTAAAATCTGTTAAGAGTTAGTAATTGTGTAGTATAAAGTAGTGTTTTATTAGATGTGACAAAATATTGTAATAGAATATTTTAAGGCAGATTAAAATTTTTGTGGACAAACCAAAAATGAAGAAGATATTAAAAAATCGTATTTTGGGTGCCAACTTCGTACTACTATAAGGTATAATAATGTGTATAGAATTAAAGTGCTAAACTGTAAAATCTAGTTGATGATAGTATAGTCTTAAAGTTTATTCGTATAGTTCTCTGTTTCAGTTTATTTTTATTATCTTGAAATAACTAGAAGGCATCAGAGAGATTGCTTCTCGCAGTTCGTTGTACTTTCGGTTGATCCAGACCAGACCAGAATCTTTTTCGATTCGCTTTTAAAGCTGACGGGGGAAAAAAAGCGGGTACACACATAAAGCTCATTGTAACTATCCTTCCAATAAAAAGCGAAATAAAATGAAATTCTGTCATAAGATTTTTATCCTTTAGTACGATTTTTTTGTCGTACATAATCAACGGGCATTATCTCGCGAGCAACGGTTGACCTAAATATTCCCAGATAAAGTGACTCATAAAAAGTTTTAACAGTTTCTTTCGAACCATTGGTTTTTACTGTATAGGAGGAGTACGTCTCTGGAGTTTTTCGGTTCGGGATAAAAAATACTTCGGTTCAGTTAATAGGGAGGGAATTTTATAGGAGTTTACTACCTCCTTTTGCGGATACGTGCGATACAGTGAAGGCGGCTACTTCCAAATTATCATAAAATATTCTTGTTTTACGATGCCTTAAAAACTAATGAGTAAATTCTGGCATCAGAAAAAATCAACAAATATTTTGTAAGTTAAATTTGAATTATTGCAGTACTAAAATTACGAAAATTGTTTGAATTTATTAATAATAAAAGGCATGTTTTTTGTATTAAAAATGTATTAAAAGTCTACCAGAATGAAACTAATTCATTTTAATGTATAGAATTCACATATGTGCACAATTCGAAGACTCCCTGGTTATTAACTTTATTTTGTCCCTTCAATTATTACTAATTAAAGTTACAAAATGATTGATTTGAACATACATGGGGGTGAAATGCAGCTATTCTACGATTGTTTTTACGAATGTACGCCTCTGTAAAATGTTGTTGAAATCAGATAAGGTCGGCTTTCGGGAACCCTATTCGGTGATTTATTAAGATTGTTCCGGAAGAATGTACAGATCAAATCCAGATAAAATTTAAAGTGTCCCCGGATGATAGTTTAGATTAGTTTCGTGAAGTAGATTTAACCCTAGGATTTGTCGATAGATGTAAACGGAGTAGACTTTCCTTGGAAGGGAAAAAAAGCGGTGTAGTTTTTCCTTTCGACGATTTAGGAACTTCGGTTCGCAGATCGTTAGAAAAATAAAAATAAATCAAGTCATAAACGGTGTGCTCTATTCGGCGTAAAATTGAATACGAATATCGACGTAAAAAATTTACTAGGGAGAAAGAAAAGAAAATAGCGCAGTGTCGGATGCATTATAGGTATATATTTTAGCTACATCCGGAAGTCTTTTGTTATCCCCGGAGGCCAAAGATTCATCCGGATTGATTCGATTATAAACAACGTATTTCATATAGCTCGCTTTCTGTAGATATTCAAATATTTATTCCTGATGTTTTGCTATAAGTAGCAGGAAGCAGAAAGGTTTGATCGATGTATTCTGTTCTAAGAAAAAAGAAACTTGGGAAGTCTATATGAAATTTTACCAGCGTTTAATAATGTGTGTAAGTATTCACTGATTGTATAGAAGGTATATTTGTATGTACAAAGGTAAAAGAGGGTTAGGAAAGAACAGGTAAATGACAGTGCTCAGTAGTTGCGTTGTAACATTCGCGGCATTACACTGAATGTAGGTACTTACCACTTTATAATTCACATAGATCAATTGAACCATATTGTTTAATAAATATTTAACAATAACCGTATCTTTTAAATGGTATAGGTAAGTACATCGATAATCTAATATCATACGAAGTATATTGGACGTGTGGAAGATACGATTCTTGTCAAATAATTCCCTTGGTACATCGAGGTACCACCTTCTAAACGTACCAACATACCATTATTCAAAATAAAAACATTGAAGTTTGCACTATACATTTATAAATTACACAACGTCTAGACATACATCGAACCACCATTGCTGCAAGAAACAACGCACTACATGGCGAGCCCATTTTTCAGAACCGCCTACAATAGCATGTGCATAAAACAAATATATTTTTTGCGGTATGAAAATTAACAACACCCGAATTAATGGGACAAATATATTTGCCGCTATGACCACTTTGATTCAAACGGTTTTGAAAAACACAGAACGTTCATCTAAGTGAAAATATCTTAGGTTGTTCATTACTTTACTATTGGTTGTTGAAGTTAGAACCTAAGTTGGCACAAATTTATTGATGTTGCATAAGAAATTTTCACCGGAACAAAACGGAGTTACAGCCCCGCACTACTACATTTTTCTAATACGCACAACACTGTCACAACGCCACATACAAGGACAGAGGACTAGGTCTTACTTGACCAATTAGCTAGCTATCTTCTCGTTACCTTGCCACTAGCGCCTCTTTACTTCAGGCAGACGCCGCCACTGGTCGAATGTGGCATATCGAACTCTGCAATCAGAATAGATCTAGCAGCGGCGTCCATTCGGTTTAATAACATGTTCATCGACGTGTCGCCTTTAACGTCGTTTCACATACTACTGATAAATTAATTCGCAATTTCGACCAGGTAAAGTTAGCTGGCGGTTCGGCGAGTTTGTTCAGTGCTATGTGAAACTGTGCGCGCTACATCGTCATGGATTCAATGATGGCAAAACGGTTTAATCTAGATCTAGATAATTCCCTAAACCGGCTAAAATTAAATTTTTTTACTGATTACCTTTACTTACCTACACGTTGTACTTATTGTTTTAGTGAATATCGCAAGAATGATAATTGAACAATGCTTATGACACAAATCATTCATATTGATTATTTATATTAGTAATTTTTACACCATTGAGACGATGACAATGATAGAATTTGTTGTGACAACGGTGAAATTATCCTTCCTCATTTTCACATCCGGGCTTTATACTTAATTTCAAAATGTAACTACTCTACTATATTTAGCAAATTTAAAAATAATAAATCGAAAATTCATTTTAAAAACGCTCTAAATAAGGTAATTAAAACAGATTCGATAGAATAAACAGTGAAATAATGTGAACGAAATAATAGAATGCACATCCAAGGATTTTATTTTAAAATAATACATTCATAACCAACATTCTGTCGAGTTCCACTGCTGTTTATTGGAAACACTGTTGGATATTGAAAGCGAGTTGCAAAAATAATTTTAGCCTTTTAATAGTTATCTACTAGCTATTTATATCAATTTACACTTCATAAATTTTTATTACTCAAAAAGGTCGTTGTTTACGGGGTGTAGTGTCAGAAAATTTAACCGAAAATTACTCCGCTTATTTTCGTATTTGTGACCAAAGAACATATTAATTTTTTATATCGCAAATAGCCAGAACTATTTGATAGAGATAATTAATAAAGTAGGTACCGTCCGAAATTTAACGAATTAACAGATTAGAGTCGCTCTATTAAAACCGTTTTTATCTCCTTTATATCAAATACAGCTCATATATTTTCGCTGCTATTTTTGATACTTGACTAATAGCCGTAATAAACGAGACACCTTGTAAGCCGAACCGATGGCACTCGTTTAACTTTATGAGCCTTCTATATCTTCCGGTTCCTTGAATTGATAACCGATGTCGTCGACGACAATATAGCAAATCGTGAGTGCAAATGTGTTGTTTGCGATTTCGCTGCTTTTCCTCGCAAAATTACTTTATCTGCTTTCCAGGCAGTCGATTTTTTATGGAACGCCAGTGAAAGGTACGTTGCTTGTTTGTGCATCTACTGTCGTGCACTTTTTGAATGAATCGTACTTTTCCAGACGAAATTAATCGCAATTAAAGTTACTGCTATCGATCACTACATGTAGAAACGATCGTGGATATTTATTTAATGGGCTCGTTCTAACAGCTTTGTAAATAACAGTCCCGTCTTGGGCATGCAACGAATAACTCGCCGGCCGATAAATGATTAATACTCATGAAATTTTCAGTGCATCGCATTGCGTGTGATGACAAGAACTCTATCAAATAATTAATAAGAGCTGATGTAATTTAACGCTCAATCAATTTGTAATGTCTTTTGGGACATAATATATAAAATTATAATCTCGCATGATTGGATTAAAGCTAGTCAAACTCGCCGATGGAGATTTCTTTGTGTACAGCTATCGATCGATTTTCTCTAGAGAAAAATCAAAATATTTCGGATGTCGGCCGAAAATGCGACAACAATGCAAACAATTCCTTAACTTCGGTTAATTACGGACGCTGTTGCGCGAGGCAACATTGGCTCTATTCAAATTTGAAGAGCCAGAAAGTTGGCACCAGTCAAACTGCGAATTCTAGAGAGTTCTGGAGTAACCGAAAGTTGCCACTAAGTGATGAGCAATCTAGCGAAATGTGAAATTGCAATTACTTAATTAGAACCGGTGGCGACTGGAGGAAAATTCAGTTAATGACAAAAGTCTTTTCTGCCAAAAACTAGGGATTTTAACGAGATTCTTCTGTCGCGCGAACAAGATTATTATGTATTATAGTGACTCGATTACTTCGTTTTGGAGTTTTTTTTATTGTAAGTATCTGATATAGAAGCAATTAAATTAATTAGTAGCATAGTATGATTAAAAAAATGGGATAATTTTATTAATTAATGTTTCGGTTTGTCGCTTTAGCGGCCAATTTTATTACAACGTTTCTGACAAGAGCCAGATGTTTCCCTTCCTATGCCGTATCAGAGCGCACCCTTGCCACAGGTTTTCCTAAAACCTCCCGCTCAGCATTGTGCTTGTCAATGACAGGTACACTTCGTCGCTTTTCATACAAAACGAAGGCCGACTGAAAATTATATTTTTGTTGGTTCTTTTGTGTGTTGCCAACGTCAAATTACGTTCGGTCGGCTCCAAATTTATTAGCGGTCGTATTTAGATGGACGAAAATTGAAATTCTAGAACTTCTCTTTCATTTTTTTAATTATCGCCTATTGATCGGTCGTTAATTAAAAAATGATTGTTTTTAAACGGTAAACGCCTAAGGGAATGAAAAACCAATAGCTGTACAGAGGAAAATTAAAAGAGATTAAAAAAAAGAAGCGAAACGGTCAATGAATGAAAACTGTTCGATAAATTTGGAATTAGGAAATTACACATCGAATATATTGCATAAATATCTTCTGCAATTAATTTTAAATTTAACTATTTTCAATGGAGCTACTGAAAAGCCGAATAAAATAACAATTTCGTCCTACACGATCGTCCTTATTTTTCCAAACGACGTCTCTCCGGTTGTTTGCGGAGTTTTGTCAAGCTTTAATTATGTTTCCATTTTTTATACGAGTATAATCTAAACTTTAATGGGCCGCAGACGACTTGAACCCTTCGAAATGAAGGGAGAACGGTGCACGACAAAATACAAATATTTGTTAAATAAAGATATTTGATAAAGCGTCGAGGGTTCGAAATTCGAAAGGAAAATATTTTGCGGGAATTTCTTTCGCTTTGCGGAACAACAGTCATTGTATATTAAAATGTGTTTTTAGTTTAGAGACAAGGCAGCAAAACGCAACAAAGAAACTTCTTATATTTCTGATGATTACGAGAAAGGAAAAGATCAGGGAATAAACGAGAAAAGTGCTTAGATAGAAGATTAAAATTGCATCTCGTTTCATAATGATTTAAACGAAATAAAGGACAATACGTTCTATTTAGTAAACCATTTTGTTATGATTTCTTTGTTTGTTTTAATCATCGTCTGCTTCGCGTCTCGCACCTTCCTTTTCTCGGAATTGTGTTTTACAAGTCTTGCGTTACCTTAAGCCCACGAAAACACGTCGAGTATTGTAAAGATAAACATCCTGTTCTTGTTAATTTACGTATTCAGGAACCACCCTCTTTTCACCTAGAACACACCCGGTGCTGGTGAACTCCCGGAACGTCAACGGCAAGGCATTTCGACTTGTAGGCATTCACACATCATCACTTGAGAGATATGAGTGCACTTAATAAACATAAATAGTTGTAGGTTGTCATTAGCACGGTCTTTGCGCCTCCGTTTCTATACGCTCGCTCTCTCGGCGTTTAGAAACGCAATTACCTTGTTTGAGAATAAAATTGCTAAAGGTGTCAACAAGGCAGAGATAAAACTTGAAGTACAAAAAATTCTGTAATAAACCCCATTCAACGCTCTCGTACAGTATGTTCATTTTGCTTTCAATGTTGATTATTACATCTTATAAAATCTTGGATGTCATTGCTCGAATAAAATAATTAATTATTAATTTAAAATGCATTACAGTGTTTAACTTACCTCCGCGGTTTTCACTGTCCGCTGGCTTCACTTGGATGGGGCGGTTCATCTGTAATTAAAAAAAATAATTAATTATTGACGTGTAGTCTATATGGATTTGAAACATCATTAATTATGATTGAAATGCGTGGGTAATAGTGGTGGAAATTATGGAATTATGCGCTGCTCGACTATAATTTGCTAATTAATTTAAATAACTTACTTTCATTTATTAACCATGATAGTAAGGGATTTAAATATTATACAAGATAAATTTATTTTATATGTTTAGTTTAATTAGAGTATCATTAAAAATTTTGCCCGTATTGATTGGAGAAATTTTAATTTAATATTATTTGGGACACTTCGTATTATGCTTTTGAACTCTGCGAAATTAATTAATACAAATTTGAATTTTTTAATAACCCTCCATCATCGTAATAAAATTCAAAATAAATAATACAAACCGGAAAATTTTCGCTCCGATGACCGGTTTACTTTCGTAATTATCTCGGAAAAGTCATCAAAGCTTCGGACGAATTTACAGTTCGTAAGAAAATGAGCGCATCTTGTTTCTAAAATATCGCTAAGGCAATTTATAAAAGCACTTTTAAAATATTTGTGAATAAACTAAGTAGACTGCTAAAATACACAGAAACTTCGCAACTTTTCAGGATGAAAATGTTTTCCCAATTTTGCTCGTGAGAGACGGGTTATAAGGGCAATCGTAGCGGAATTTATTCAGAGATTAGCCCCTTTTATAAGTTTTAGTTTCATTACATCGTCACTCGCATAATAATGGAGTAGGAATTATTCGTCGTTTTTGAAAAAAACCAAGACCAGGAATCATATTGATTTTATACTTCGAAATGAAAAACTCAAATAACTATGAACTCAACAGATGTTGAGCAGGGTAAAGGGGCGCTAACAAGGCATCCGATTACCGCTTAAAATTTCGAATCTAAAGTTTCCCCCTACTTTGTGAATTAAATAGTTCAAAAAGTGTTCTCGAAATTCCAATTTCGCAAAGAAAACACGGCAAGTTAGTGGCGGGGAACACATTGCGACGGGTTAAACTCGGCGAGCTCGCTCTACTTCAAAGAACTAGTTTAGACATGATTTATAATTCATTTGTTTTCTTTAAGATGACAGCGGCGCTAAGCACGCTTCGTGTTTTAATATTAAAGAGATAATGCCATCGAGTCGGCGGGACGGCCGGGGTTTTAGTTTAATATATTATGAATATTGATGAGAGGAAGCGAAGTTTTACCGATACAAAAAAAAATCGAAGGGAAAAGGTTCAGGTCTCAGGAAAAATAAGTGGATAAATCCTTTACCCCTTGAACCGAGGGTGGAATAATTTCACGCCGAATTAAATTCCCCGTGGTGGCGGTGTTTATTTTAGGCGCTTCCAATTAACATTTTTTATTAGTTATTGTGACGAAAATGAAATTTTGGTCCATCATACAAATTCGCTCTTAGTATAGAGCAAAGATTGTCCTGCTGCGGGTATTTCTACGCGTACTTATAAAATATCCTGTATGTGAGCATTTTTTCGAAACATTTGTCTATAGAACGCATTCAATCATCATATCTCCTATCACGTGTTGGCCGGCATTTGCCGCGAACACGGCTCTAATTTACTCTGATGACAGGAAATTAAAGTCGAGCTTCTGTCCATTATGACAGGAATGTTGTTATCGCCTATCGCCATAGTTACAGCTGGCCTCTGCATTCCGTCGAGCAACACCAACGCTATAGTTCCCTTTCAATGGCCATTATTGAGACGAACAGAGACCGACCGCGCCGTGTGCATTCAATACAAGATGACCATAGGATACGCCGAACGACCCATTGTGATACATAAACAAAAGAATTCAATTACCTATTGGGTGTAGCTAGTAGGAAGCTTGATTAGCATCGCGTTACACGTAATTAATGCACTGTTGCAATTACCAATATTTGCGAAAAGGTCCTGCGTTTATCGATAATCGAAAATTTTGGCGAACGCGCCGGCTAATTAACGAGGAAATTATAAAAACGTCGTGCCATAATTTCCATCTGGTGTTCGCGATAATCCTCCTTATCAATCAACTGGTTAAATTAAGAATTTTTTAAAGTATATATTCAACTGAGATTCAATTACATGGGCCTCGCTCACCCTTTTCGGGACCCGTAATTGATCATTTCTCTTCATCTTTAGAGATGTCAAGTCAATGAAGGCTCGTCAGAGGGGCGAAAGTTTTACTCCAATTTTAAGTCTAATTTATCGAAGGAACCTCGAAGATTTTTTTTTCTGATAAAAGTTAATCCCACAGATATTCGCTGATCAAAGAAATGAGATGATTGCATTGCAAATTGAAAAAAAATATAATGGTGTTATAAATCCCATGGATTTAATTATAAATTTTTGGTGGTTTATTTCGTTTGTAGAATGTGGTTGTTTATCGTTAATTATTTACCGTTTGTTAGTATGCATCGCATCAGTTAAACAGCACAAATATAGGAGTGTACCGAATAAATGAATTCTCTTTCTAGTTGTCTCGATAACGTTAACGTTGAAGTATAACCATTGCTGTCGTTACGTACTGGGTGACTTTTGAAAGATTAAAGTTTGTATCTATTTACTTTGTTGTACAAATTCCATGTGTGTTCCTCGTTCCGTGTGTTTACCAAAGATTGCATCGGTCCGAAATTAATTAATTAAATTCTAGAATCCCGTCGACCCCTCACCCCCTCCCCCGATCCCTCGTAGAGCGGCTACGTCACCAACAACAATTCACTCATTCGTATTTTAATAATGTGCGTTGTAACTCCAGCACACAGGATTATTAATTGAATGTATATAAATAATATTTGATGAGAGCACTAGGAATACGTTTACGTTTGTCCACAACAAACATGACTTTTGTGATTAAATGCTTTTGTTTGATGTTTTGCTTTGTTTCAATTCTGTTTTGCAACGACTTGAAAATTACGAGTATAGGTAGGCGAATTTACAATTTTATGGTATAATTCAAATAATATAGGTATACTTAGTATTTTTATTACTAAAAAACAATATCATAGTGTTATATGTTTTTTGACATACGTCAAATGGTTAAAAATACATAAAAGTAGAATGAATAAATAAGCAAAATTCATTCAATAGTTCATAAAAATTTTCTTATGGCGTAGGAGTTTTCGTGATTATCGCGGTCGCATCAAGAGAAAATTCAATATAAACTCTAATTATGATTTGTTTTCAGTTATCATAGGGCGAAGCGTATTAAAATGAATATTTCATTAAACATTAGTTTCCGTTTCGCTCCGATGGAAAATCATTACAGTGGCTGGCTGGTGAATTTTTTATTAATCCCTACAAAGCCAGTGGCGCGGTTTTTTTATAATCTTTTAGTAGTCCTCTTTCCATTTCGTTAAAAATTTATGGAATTGAATAGTAAATAGAGGTTGATTAAAGGAAATTCGATATGTACGTCATGCATACATCGAGAGCAAAAGAGAACATTGAAAAAGCAATTATCTCGTTATAAGAGTATACTGCATCACATAGCGTTTTAATTTTAAGAAATAAAAACAAAGTGCAGTGTAATGGATGCTGAGTAAGGGTGGGTAGGTATTTAGAAAAATTTCCCGTCGGATTTTTATATCGGCATCGAAAATCATATCCAAATATCTAATAGACTTCGATTCCCTCCGGAAAAAAGTTTTTTATTACTCGAGTTTTTTTCCTCGTTCTTCGCCCACGTTTATATTTCGAACGATAATAATCCGGATCGGAAATTATCCGTTTTCAGCGATTGTTGACAAAATATTACTTTGTTTTCGTTCTCGCAACGTTTCCTTCCATGATACCGGAATTCTTCGCGAACGCGCAATTAATTAAACCCGTATCACGTGCCGTATTTAATAAATCCCCGATCGAGAGCATTATCTAATTTTAATTGGGAGTTCTGTTAAAAATTACGAGTACTTAATGAAGCACTCTCGATCCTAAGACACCGTCAAAGGAGGATCAATAAAGGTAATAAAGTCCCCAACTTTAAAAGGAAAAGACCGGTGCTTTTTATGATGTTAGCGATCTCCCTTCCGGAATAGGGGAAGTATAGGTATAAGTATACAAATCGTGACTCACAATGGATTTGGACTTTATGGGAAATGTCTTTTCTTTTCAACAATCGAGAGCGAACGTCTCTTTATTTGTTATAAGGATAAATGAATAGGAAAGATAATTCGAGTGTCCTTAATTGTACAAAGGTAAGTAGGTACGTGCGTATTTAATTAAATTCGTTGAAGTTGAAGCTGAATTTAATGATTAATTACTTTTAAATTATTATTTAAGATTATTGCACGGTGATATTTTTAGCAAAATCAATTGGCGCAGTCGAGCACAGATACTGGTATATAAAATGTATATGTATTTGAACATTTGGACAAAATTAAAAGATAAAAATCGGTTTATTCGATAATAAATTAACACTTTGTCATTTCCGCGGTAGGTAGAGGAATCTTTTTGGTTTTCGCCGCCCCGTGGTGCTTGTCGACACATGTTCGTTTCCCAGGCGTTCTGGATGCGATTCGTGCCCATACCAGTACACACATGTTCACTTGTTTCTGTTTTGTTTATGTTCGAACATGTAATAATATCGCGTACGTGTGTCGGAGTGCGCCGCACATGCCGTCGTCTTTTTTTATTGGTTTCCGCGGACCGAATGGATTTCAGAAAGGCCTATAAAGGTTTATAGTTTGTATAGCGACGGTTTTATTTACGGGAAGCTGTTAATTTGTACGAAAATAGTTTCGAATTTTGATACATTATGTTCACTGTATCCACACTCTTCATTAATTGAATTATATTTTTTATGAATAAATTTTATGCTAAATAGCTACAATTAATCGTTTATTAAATGTAAATTAATGCATTCGCATTATTTTTCTAAAGTAAAATTAAAGAAATATCAGAGATTCTGGAAGATAGAACCCTGTTGTGTTCACTCATCTTTGCTTAATAAAAGGTTATATCAAAAATTAAGGCCGACCGTTTTGATGAAAAGAAAATTGACGAAGGGA